CCACTCCTGCCCATTCATCCCCCTGACAAGCGCGCAGAGACTATAATGTGCACAAGGACACACACAAACACAAACAGCACAGCCCACTTCAGTCTCACTGTTTTTATGAGAAGAGGAATGTTGAGCATGTAGCTTCTTTACGATCGTGGCTGAAGTGCGAATGACAGAGCTGGAGGCACCCCCATTCATTACAACATAATAACCCTATTACCACATAGAATTACACAGACAACCATCGAGTGCATGAACTCATTCACCTCTGGGAAGGTGAATGAGTTAGTAAATTGTTAGTTTTACTTTCCTGTAATCAAACCGAACACTATTTCATTCCAACTATTGCAAAACATCTGCAGAAATATGTACGGGAGATAAAAATCAACTGGCAGCTCTGGCTTAATGTTGTCAACCAGCTGTCTGAGTGATAGAAACACCAAGATCAAGTATCTAATTGAGGCATTTGGTGTTACTACAGCCACTAGAAGGGCTTCAGTGTGACTTGGAAGCCTTGCAAATGGCTCAAACCCACTGGACGGATGCCACAACATTCTTCAACAAGCACTTCTCTTCTTTTGTGCATTGTCAAACATGCTAGAACATAATCAAGTAAATGAATAGAATGGCAGCATTTGGAAATTAGGAGGCCCATTAAAGAACTGTTTACATGTCAGTTGGCTACTTAAAGCTGACCTACTACAAGCTGAAGTGGATTTAAATCGCTTATAAATCTAGATTGACAAATCCATTTGGAAAAGGGGTGTCATTTCATTGTTAGAGCCTGTATTTGATTGGAACAAATTGGATTTGAAAGCAGCAGATATATTTTCCTTCTATAAAGTTATAAAGATATGTTTTTTTCATCCCCACATCTAAAATTAAAGCTGAACTAAACAGAACTGTTTTCTGTAGAGCTTCAAACTGCCGATAACACCCAGATCTTTCTTTAGGAAGACTTAGGAGATACAAGAACTGTATTTAAAACATGCTCTGGCTTTGCTCCAACGAAGAGTCATCATTGTTTTATGTTAATAGTAGTTAGTCTGAGCATTTAACAAAAAATGAGGGTGTTCACCTTATTTGCTCCAAATATTAAAGAAAATTAAAGATATTGGGTGATATTGGAATGAATAGGGTGGTTATCGTTACTAAAACTGCCATCTTTTGGTAGGTTTTTAAGGTCTACTACGTTTATGCACATATCTCATGAGAAGGGGTGATATAAGAAACAAATGTAAAATGCCAAACTGACTTTAAACAAAAAAAAAAATATTTCAAATTTAAGGTATTTCAATTAAATAATGCTATATGATGTACATAATGCAGATTTTATGTAATAAACTGAAAATATAAAAGAAAACATCGGGAAAAGTGCATTGCAATCGCATTATAATGGCAGGTAAATAAAAGTTGGACTAGAAACCTGAACTGGTGGTGCTAGGATGAAACTATTAAGCATATGTGTTATTACAAAATTTGCATGTGCAATGAAACCGAGGTACTAACCCTTATCCTTTGTAGACATATGGTCCATCTCCGTGTTTAGATCCATATGCTGTCGAATAGAAAGACAGGAATCTGAAAGGAAAATCAACAATAATATTTCAAAGTTTTAATCACAGAATAAATAAATCACCAAGCGAAAATATATTATTCAACACCAGTATGATGAATGCAATTTTAAACTGTAATATTAATAATTCATTGTTTCCTAAAAACACACAATAATAACCATTGAGGATGTGAATATCTGGAGAGAAACCAGAACTGATCCGTCTGCTTGGCCTCCTCTATTAGTCTAGATCTGTCATCAATTAAATAACAGACTTAAAGACTAATAAACATTAGTTTATAGACTTTACTAAAATTAACTACAAATAATAACTGTTAATCTAACATAAAAACATGTTTATTTAATACAATACTGGTACTTGGGGAGAATTTTATCAGCAGTGGTGTCAAAAGTACAATCATTTGTTGCTTAAGTAGAAGTATAGATACTACAGTTTAAACACTCTGGTAAAAGTTGAAGTATCAAATTGACCTCTTTATTCAAGTAAAAGTGTAAAAAGTATGTGCTTCAAAAACTACTTAAAGTATAAAAGTATAAAGTAACCTTTAAAAGAAACAGCCAGATGCCACTACATGAATTGAAAGCTAAATTTTTCAACTATTTTCAAAAAATTCTTTGAGAGAGGGTCAAGGGAGGTCCTGTTGGTCTCCATCTCTATCTCCCGATACTCTCTCGCCTGTGTCCGACATTTCAGACATTTCAACATCTATTTCTGAATCTGACATTGTAGCATGGCATAGACAATTCATATTTACAGTTTGAAGAACACCTGCTTGCTTCTGATTATTTCCTTTAGCTATCCAATGAGTGTTTGCGTTATATGACTCATCCAATTACACTAGTTTTCGCTAGATGTGGATGGCGCCAATGATCTGCATTGGATGGAGCACATGACATGAAATAAATATTTAGAAACATTAAACCGAAGCCAAGAGTAACGAGTAACGTTTGTTTTAAAAATGTAAGGAATAGAAAGTACAGATACTTGTGTGAAAATGTAATGAGTAGAAGTCAAAGGTAGGAAGAAAAATAAGTAATAGAGTAAAGTATAGATACCTAGAAATTGTACTTAAGTACCGTAACAAAGTATTTGTACTTGTTACTTGACACCTCTGATTATCAGTAAAACATCCAACTGTAATACATGTACTGTGATGGTACATCATCTTTTTATTTTCCTCCGTCATCATGACATTCCAGCGACTCACCATGAGCTTTAATTTGGTTAAATATATATGTATACATATTTTCAAATTAATATAGTTGAAAAGCAAATAATGAAATTACATTACTTGGAATTTTTTATAAATTCATAACAGCAATAACAGTGGTGCTGTAAGGTATTCTGACTTTAATCTCAGAATTCTGACTTTAATCTGACAGTTAACAAACATGTTAGCATCAAGCCGTAGCCATGTCTGTTTTAGAGACTAGCTCTCTTGTTTTAATCACCTTCTGCTCTTTCATTAATGAAATAGCATCACCGGTGACGCCTCGAGCACGTAAAAATTTGCCTAATTGCGTCATTTTCCGTGTTTCTGGCCCTCCCAAACAACTCACATCTTTGTCAGTAAAGCTGAGTGCTCCCACATCTCTTCCTTCATGGTTCCCATCTACAATAAGATCCGTAATTCTGAGATTAAAATCAAAATTCTGAGATTAAAGTCAGAATTCTAAGAGAAAAAAGTCAGAATTATCAGATTTAAGTCAGAATTCTGAGAAATAAAGTCAGACTTTTGAGGAAAAAGGTCAGAGTTCTGAGATTAAAGTCAGAATTCTCAGATTAAAGTCAGAATTCTGAGGGAAAAAAGTCAGAATTGTGAGGAAAAGGGTCAGAATTCTGAGATAAAAGTCAGAATGACTTTCCCGCCAATATTAAACTAAATTAGAATTTAAAAATCAGTCAACTTTTTTATTTTTTCATTTCCCAAATCCTCATCCGTAGCATCGCTAGATAGAGTCAGTAAGAAAAATATCTAGAGGGACTTGTCGTGTGTTCAGGACTGTTTGTGTGTCTAAAAATCAAGCTTTGACAAAGACAATATAATTCCTGCTGCAATTCTGTGCAGCTACGTGGAAAAAACTGTGGGAACAGAAGCCTGAGAAAGGGCATGATGCCAACTGGCTCCAACGTTTGGTTTCAGAGTGAGGTTGTTATTTAGTCCTGAAGTCTGGTTGTTCCCCCTGTCTGCAGGCTCCGGAGGCGGAGGCCTTTGCAGCTCGGAGCTAAGGACCAAGTGCAGAGCAGGATGACGAAGGAGGAAGCGTCTATTTGCTTTTTAACTCCACCTCGTGGTGAGGAACTTGTCCTACTCCTTTATGTGAGGAAGCAATAGCTTGTCATGCGCAACAACTGGATACATTATATCTGTATCCAGCCTCTTTGAACACACAGACACGTTAACAAAATATTCAAGATGTTTTCTAATTAATTAGCACGAGTGAGTCAGGATAAGCTAGCAAGAAATGTAAAAACTTAGCTAGGTTGACATGTTTTACAAGAGTAAGAACGCCCCGGACAGTTGTTTTGAGTCAAACATGTTTCATTACAGCAAATTATTAATTTTAATAATCTTAACGGACTCACCACTGACTATTTTTTGCTCAGTTACAGCAATCGTCACGCGAACGTGAGCCTTTCACAATGTTTAGCTCACCATTAGCGTCTGTCAGGGTCAAAGTTATCCCTGAGCTTTGTTTGTCAGGCAGCTCTACCTACAACTCTTCACATATTGGAAACCGTTTGTCACCTGTAGACCTTAAATAATATTAAGCGGAAATAAGTGTATAGTATAAGTTCATGTATTTTACCTCTTACGAAAAAAGGCTTAATCAAAACACGCAACTGCCTGTAAGACCAAAAGAAGGAAATTATTACTACTGTGCGGAAGTTTACAATAAACATACCCCATCTAGCGGCCGAGTGTTGTAACAACAGGCATGTTCTAATATTTATAATATTCTTTATCGACTTAATATAAGAATAATTCTGTTTTTCGGAAGCGTCATTATAATCTCAATGTAATCTTCCTTTTGTTAAGATTGATGGATACAAGATTTTAATGCAATACTCAGTTTAATTGTTAATATTTTATGTATTGATTTTTTATATTTATTCAGTTGAACTTATAGAACCGATATTTTAAATGTATTTTTTTCTTTCAAAGCATATAAAATAATTTCAAACCAAAATTAAGTGCTTTGCAAAATGATTATGTAACGTGTGAGTGGTTTGATTAAAGTGGAATATAAAAAAGATAAGCTCTCCAGCAAATTACAGCGTAAATGGGTAATATATTTACTTTTTTTCTCTTGACTGAAGATAGAATTGGCCATAAAAAAAAACAACGAATTTACTAGAAATAAATAGAATTTTGTAGAAAACAGTGTGTCACGTGGTATACGCTGTGTTCGCGTGCACGATACGTCATATCCCAAAACAGCTGCACTCTGATTAGTTGGAGCAACGGTTGTTATTATTGTTTGTGAGACCGACGCACTGTTCTATTGAATCATACTTCCAATTTTACCCTCAAACCGTTCAACCCACTCTTTATATCCGACACTGCCGTGGCGGAGGGCTTAATATAAAAGGGCCAAACTGTGCGGGGTTCCTTAACCGTTGCTAGCATTAGCTAGCACATCAAACGGGCAAACTACTGTGAGAGTTGCAGCCATGGCGTGGATGGGACACGGAGCTCCATTTCAAGCAAATGGTGAGCAGAATAACGACCCAAGTCAGTCGATGGGACGTTTTGCTGGTTTCCATCCCAACCAACAGGTAAAAACGCTTTAAATCTTATTAGCCAAGCTATTAGCATTCAACTTGAACCCATATCAAGTTCCCTTTATCAGATGCTAGCAAGCTAATAGTATTTCAGAAGGGTTAAAATTAGACAGAAATATTTAAATTACAACTAGTTGTACATCAATAACTGTTTATGCGACTATTATGGTCAGATATCCTTTAGACAGTGTATACAAATCTAATATTTGCAGTGTTTTAGAAGTAGCTAACAGAATCAAAGATAGATTTTCTTTTGCACTTCGATGTTTTCATTGAAAATAAAAGCAAAAAACGACAATAATCGGACAAAAGATTGTACTCAGAACATGGATAGGTAAGATCGAATGATGGCTCATTGTAGTTGCTGAGGGGTTAGTAGATATGAACTGAATAAGTATACCAATTTAGAGGGCTAATTTTAACTAAAAACAATATGTTTTTGAAATTTGTCTTAAAAAAAACAGAATATATTATAGGCAAAAATGATCACTCAGATATTAAAGAAAAAATGTAAATCTGTAAACAGCAGGAAAAACTTTATGGTGCATCTACAGCAGTTATACTAATCATTGTTTTCTCAGAAGTGCTATCTCATGTATCTTCATTATAAAAGATGTCCTGATGCCATATTGATCAGGCTTGTTCTAACATCCCACAAATACTACATTAGTTAAAATATGTATGATTTCTTCATGATATGTAGTATCAGAAATGGAAATATTAAATCTTAACATCCGGAACCATAAGTCATCTCTGTACATTGTCTAGATTTAAGGTTGGGTACAACAAACCAGAGCCTGTAAATGCATGTTGTATTTAACTCTGAATACATTGATCTGTAAACATTTTAATTTGCATCCCTTGTCCATGAAAGTAGGTAGGTTAATTTAAAGGTGTGTTTGAAATCAACTCCCTTGTAAATCTAAATCTTGCGAGACCTGCTCACAAAAAAATATCTACCTTTTTTATTTATCTTTTTTTTTTATTATGCAGTAAAATTGAAACTTCTCTATGTTTTAATTCCATCATGAAGATCTCCTCCTCTCTAAGAATTTATGTTGTTTGCTAATATGCTAGATTTTCTGCATGATTCATTTTGTTTTTTACCTTGTTCTTTTAGAATTTTAAGTTGTCTTTACTATTACAGCTTACATTTAACTCATTTTAGTTTCAATTTACGTCACACTGTTGACAAAAAACTCCATTAGCATCACGTGTTGCCTCTGAATCTCATAACTTTTAAAATGATAAAATTTCCCTTGATAAAATTTCTCTAGACACCATTGTCCCCCCTTTGTGGCTGCCCCATGGCGTCACTTTGCCAGAGCCAACAGCGCTGTGTGAAGGCCTCCATCGTCTCCAGCTGGAGGCTGGCTGAAGCGCAGGACCAGCTGTGCTCTTTGGGAGTCCACAGTTCTGAATCGCTGGAGCAGGAACGCGCTCGAACCCTCGCTTGTCCAACAGAGCTCACAAACACAGAGCAGGAGTGGCGGCGCAAGGAGAACTTGCTGGGAGGTCCAGAACCGAGCCGCAGTCCCGTGCTTGGTGCCACAGGAAGTTGGGACGTTTTTGATAAGGTAAACCTTAAAGAGATGGAGTTTGTCACTCCTGTTTCTTCTTTACATAGACCTTTTTTTTTTTTCTTCTTCTTCTAGAGTATATTTAATTTTCAGCATCAGTCTGTGGAAATGGATCAGGACAACTGCAAAACGTTTCTTCAGAAGTATGAACAAGAGCTCAGGCATTTTGGTGAGTGAAGCACACAGGATAAATCCAGCGTTTTTCTCCTTTAGGCAAAAAAAGCCCTAAAGAAGTAATTTTGCTATGATCCTTTCTTTAATATTTGGAAAGGTTTAGACTACATTATTTTTTATATTTTGTGCTTTCAGTCCTTAAATTTTGATAAGTCATGAATCTGTTGTTCCAGGTATGCTACGGAGATGGGATGACAGTCAGCGATTCCTCTCACACATGCCACAGCTCATCTGTGAGGAAACTGCTAATTTTTTAGTCCTGTGGTGCATTCGATTACAGCAAGAAGGAGTAAGTAGCATGATGGTGGTATTGCTTTTATAATCATCTGTAACCAAAAGATCCAAGAAACACTAAACAGCTCCAAGTACAACCAATATGTAGTTTTGTTGTAACGCACATGCATAATGCACAGAAAAAATAATTGCATACTCAAAGATATCTTTAGGCTATGCATTTTTTTTTTTGTTTACACTAAATGTAATAAATTTAAAAAGCTGGTTTTAAATGATGACTTTAAGTGAAAAAACATATTCAATTAGCATGGCATTGTGTAAAGTTCTTACTTTTCCTTTTGGAGATTAAACAAAAAACAAACAATACAAAAACTAGCTCAATGTTATCTGTATGTTTAATCAAATTGTATACTGCCTTTATTTAATCTTAATAGATGTACTGATGCTCTTCCATTATGACTTGCATTTGTTTATTCTAAACGTATTCATGTTAACTGTATGTTTGCCCCGTTGCCTGTCTCACCTGATCACCAAAACAAATCCCCCCGAATGTGTAAAGTACTAGTAAGCAAGAAGAGTTTTGTGATTAAGATTTTAGAATTTGAAAAGACATGCTCACTGATCACCAAAATTAAAACCCAACAACATATTCAAATACTGTACAGAATCACATCAATTACTTTGTCCTGACACCTGTAGCTTCAATGAGCTTGATTTTTTTCATCCATCAGACACTGCACATTTACGGTAGGTAAAGTCTTTTTTTTTTTTGTTCTTGTTTAAGGAGGTCAAACAGATATCCTTGTAATATACCTTGATTGTTTTATGCTGTTTGTCTTCCAGAAAGAAGCACTTATGGAGCAGGTGGCGCACCAAGCAGTGGTTATGCAGTTTATCTTAGAAATGGCTTCAAATTCTCAGCAAGATCCCAGAGGCTGCTTTAGGCAGTTCTTCCACAAAGCCAAAGTAAGTCACATAGTTCAAGTATTCTAATCTTAAGTCTCACCTTAGCTTTATACTGTTGCAATGATACAAGCGAATTTATAGAGAATTTATAAAAAAAAAAAAAAAAAAGCTTTTTCAGCTTAATTTGCTCTTTCTGTCTCCATTTTTCTCTATACCATTTCACCTTTTTTTTTTATGTAATTGTATTTTTTTTTTTCTTTGCAGGAGGGACAAGATGTGTACCTTGAAGCTTTTCATGCAGAATTAGAATCCTTCAAACAGAGAGTTAAAGAATATGCTGCTAAATGTAGAAACGATGCTTTGAATGTTGACCAGCAGAATGATGGCACAGGCTACAGACCGAACACCAAAGGAACAACAGACTTTATATCACAGGTACACACTGCTACATTTACTTAGGCACCACTTTGTCTCGTGACTTCTTGTAGTTATCCTGTTCAACTGATAGGTGGCACTAAAAAGCATTTTTTTGTGTGTTTTTTTTCATGTTGGGACCAGTGTTGCTAATGCCATTACTTTTTAATTTATATATCTTCAAAACGTGTTTACTTTTTGAAAGAAAGGGCATTTTTATGTTCGGTTTAGCTCATGTGGCTTCAGATTGTTAAAGAAATTCTGGATGTCTATGTTTTACAAACTTCTTTCTCAAAAACCTGGTGGGAATGGGAAAGAATTTCCTTTTAATTAAAATCACGTAAGCCTCTTTAATTCCCTGTTTTTTGTTTTTGTTTTTTTCTTCACATACTTTTTTATTTTATTTTATAACCCATAAAATCAAAGCAGTATATTTTGAATTTTTCTTTAGATATTAAACATAACTTAGATGGAATATTTTACTTGCAACCCTTGGTATTTTTTTATGTGCTTTATAGTTATTTGAGAAAAATGGAAAAAAAATGATGACATATATACATTTGTTTTAAAACGGGTTTTCTTAAAAAAAAAAAAAAATCGGACAAAATTTCTATGAAACTGCATGTTGCAAGTATCATTTTATTTAGATCAGATCCATGTTAACAAGGATCAATGTCTCAGGTCATGATAACAAGTTAACTTGCTTTTTCAGATCTAAAGTGACTGAAATTGAACCTCAGTTGAACCAACATATCATTATTTATTAAGCAGAAGCTGCCCAGGCGTCTCCATTCGGGCTTTGTCTTTTTTTAAGGCCACCCTTCAAGAAACCTTTTTTCTTCCTGCTAAATTCTTTCTTTGACAAAACTTTGTAATCCTTCCTAAACAAATATCTTTAGTTATATCTATGTATTTACTTAGGAGTAAACATAACTGAGTATATCTGTATTTTAGTTGATCTCTTAGATCACAAACCTTTTGGTCAAGGTTTCAGTTTGTTAGTATTCCCACTTCTAGTGGGATTGGCAGCTGTGTGAGCTGTTTTATGCTTATGATTAAACTTTAAGGGTTTTGTTTTGTTAAATTGACACCTTCCAAATTAACAGAAAGCAGCAGTCGCTCCTCTGAGGTCATTACTAACATATTTTTAAAATTATTTTATTAATCCCAGAAATAAATTGAATGTGGCTATACAATATAAGCTGCACCTGGCTGCTCCTTTCCTATTATGATCAAGGCCAAAAGGGTATATTTATGTTTTCCTGACAGAACTCTATGTGTTTTATTTGACCTTTATGTGTTTGATTGGAGTCTGTATATATGTTTTTGTTTTTTGCCCACTTTTAGTTGAATTCAGATTATATTTGATCTGGCAAAAAGCATAATTGAGTGTTCTGGTGCAGCACTGGAAATGACAGAGGCTTTACTACGTATGTTGAAATATTGCTTTGTTGTTGTTTTTTGGCAGTAGATTATCATCACTTTAACATCTGGGAAAACATTAGTTTATTGCCAACTTTTATGTTTAAAAGATTGGTTTTTAAATGAGCTTACATATTTAATCCATTTTATCCACTTTATAAAATCTGGATATGGATACATTTGCTTCCATGGACTGCTGATATTGTTGACAGAAAAGGAGAAAGTGCTTTGAACCTAATGACAAACATGGCTCTAAAAAGTACATTACCTGTCATTTTGTATAAATTCAGAGCACTTATTTAATGAAACAATGCCTAGACCTGCAGTATATCTTTATTTAAGCACACTGTTTGGTTCCTTATCAGTTTTAGTTGAAGTTAGTAAGAGCTGCTGTGGATGGTCCAAGGACCCACTAGTTGCAAACGTCTGGACTAGGCTCTTTAATATTTCTGGACCAACTGAGATCCTCCAGTTTTGAAATCTGCTGTTCTCTTGTAATTTAATCATTTAATATACAATCATTTGTTGTTAAAGAAATGTATCTCTTTATTTAGTTTGTAAAAAGTTTGACATACGTTCAACAGGATACAGCTATTTTCTTAAATGCATTGGATTAATCTTCTGAAATCTCTTGTAATTTGAATTATTTCAGTGATGCTTTAGTTTTGAGACTTTTGATAATATATAAATGTTTTAACTGCTGCCATCTTGACCAGGGTGCTCTAGTCCCTCCTGTTTGAATTGTTAAAAAGTATGGTGTTTTCTGGGCTATAAGCCACTACTTTGTCCCCACATTTTTAACCATGCAGCTTATAGGAAAGTGCGGCTTTTCTGTGGATTTTTCCTAACCACAGGGGGCGGAGATCAGAGAAGAAGGGGCTTTCATTTAGCACAAGCCCATGCTAGCAGCAGGCACGACTGGGAGCAAACACCCCTAGTTTAGAGATTTTGTCTTTTATTTGCCGCATTAAAGCTTTGATACCACTGAAGAGACTGCAACTCCTGCAAAGCTTAAATAATAAGCGAAAAAAGCCCCATCTTTCATTAGAAGCTCTTACAACCGACAAGCTAATTGGAGCCAAGGTTCTTCCTCGTCCCTACTCTAGTGGGGATATGTAGAGCACCCCCTAGAGGTTTGTTGGGGGACAGTTCTGTAGATATCAGCGGCTTATAGCCAAGTGCAGCTTATATATTTGTATGTTTCCTAGTAAAAAAAAAATGTGTGGGTGTGGCTTGTAGTGAGAGCACTCTATTTCTGGAAAATAAGGTATATAAGTTAAAACTAAACTACGCCCCTAAGGTAAACTAGTTCATATAAATTCTTATTCATTCTCCAGAATGTATTCTTCCTGTCTATTCTTTTAATTAAAAATCAAGTTTATTTAGTGAGGACCAAATCCCACTGTAGACGGTTCTATCCAAGCTCTTATCACTTTAAAGGAAAGCAGCCTTGTGGCCAAAAACTCGTCTACCTAACTGATATAGATTAATCTAAACCAGAGTGTAGAAACAAAGGATTTACTTTCTGGTAGGAGTTTTTATACTTGCAGTTCTCTTTGACAAACCTCCCTATAGCTAAGATACAAAAACAAGCTAGTTTGCCTCATTTTATTCAGCAAACTTTTCATTATACTTTGAAAAGGCTTTTGTTAAGCTGGGGAGAGATCGGCGGCCACATCCCCGCTGCTGGCCCCACACCGTGATTAGTTGCCAACATTTGCTCAGCAATGGAAATCCTGCCTCTCAGGATAATGAAGGATGTTAAAACTGGATTATGATGCTTTTATTTCTTGATGTTGTTGAATATAAAGCTTATTTTTAGGTTCTTTTTTTTTTTTTTTTTTTTTTTTTTTTTTTGGGGTTGAATAAATTACATTCCAGAGCTGTGTCTGTATGCAGCTTTTTAAAACGTTTTAGAAATACTGACATTTATAGTCTGATGTATTTAATCCTTTTTTCTTGTTTTTTGGCTTGTAGGAGGATGCTGAATACAAGATGAAGCACTGTTTAGAGGCAGGACTGTGGACGAGTACAGGGAAATGGACAAAGGATGACGCCACAGAAACAGAAGACAACCGGATGATGGAAATCTCTTAATGACCGTCACTCCAACCCTGCTCTTCTCCCATCTCAGTCCTTTGTCCACGTAGGAACAATCTGAGTTTGTAAACCTCCATCCAGGACACCAGGCGGATACACGGCTGCAGAGCAGGAATAACTGGAGAACTGATCCGCTTGTTTGTTGCATCTTGCAGCAGAAACAGGAGGAAATTATGTTTTGCTAATGACACATTTTGTTGAGCTTTGGCTTTAGCATTTGGCTCTCGCTGCAGTGTGGCCTGCCAGCTAGTGAATGCATATAATGTGCAGCAGTGTAACCTTTTCTTCTGAAAGAAGGAAATAACATTTTGCACACTTAGTTCAGAAAATACAAGAGATCCTAAAAAGGGTTGGTGCAGCAAATCAGGACCAGGTCAGAAACAGTTGGCGTCAAAATATAGACAACCAGAAAAAATTGGAAGACTTTTGTTTTATTTCAGATACAATAATGTGGAAATAAATTCTTCATAATTAGGTTTATCATTAGCCCATTTGTTTAAAACTTTCATAAACATCTGTTCCTAATTGCTATACATACCGCTATCTCCATTTTACAAATCATGTCCAGTGAGGGCCTTAGTTCCCAAAACAATCAGAGGTTTCTGCCTTAGGATCATCTACAAGGAGCAGCTAGAGTGAATATGTGAACTGGAGCAGTTTTTGTTGTGATAACCAGAAGTAAAATAAATAATGCATTTGCAGTTTTGGGGGATTTATTTATTTTTATTTTTGCTAATCACCGGATTTAAAAAGACAGGATGCTACCACAACAAGATATTCAGCTTTAGTCTGCCTTCCCCATTTAAGGTGGCCTGTTTTATGGCTTGTGTGGTGTAATAAGATGAATAATTGAAAAAGTAGCAGGTTTATAATAATTATAGTGGCCTTAAAACACATGTGTGATCATTGGGTTGAAGTTTGATGGATCTGCAGAAAGGCTGATGCACTTTTAGGAAAGATTATTGCAATTATTTTACATCACAGAAATTTCTTCATGTCGACTCTAAGGCCTTTCGATCAACTGAATTTAAACCTTTATTATTACATCTAGCAAAACAATATACAGTATATTTCAATTTTCAGCATTCTTCATACAGGCACTGTGCCTTGTAACATTTTCACATTACAAAGACAGGCTTTTATGTCCTTCATTAAGATTCAATGACTGTGGCAAATTATGCTGAGTCTGTGATAAATAGTTTTCCTGTCAACTGTTTGTTTAAACTACCTTAATTTAGATGTCTGCAGCTCTTCCAGTGTTACCATGGGCCGCTTGGCTTCTATTGTGTTTAATATTCTCCTTGCCCAGCCTGTATTTTTTGGTGGACAGCCTTTTTGTAATCATGAATCAATCCGAGCTCTGTGAGATGCATAAAGCTTGAAACGCCAGTTTATGATTTAACTCTTTTTTAAAGTTCTCCACAATTTTAAAGCTGAGGTCACCCTGCTATGTCTTCATGATTCTGATTGGATTATAGTGTCTAAAAAGAAAAACGCCTTCACAAAGCAGCTGTTTTTATCCTGAGATTAAATGACATGCAGGTAATCTCTATTACTAAAAAGGAAACATGATGCTTTGGATTGTATTTAGGGTTATTAGATTAACAGGCTGTGCATGCCACACTTTTCAGATTTCTACATGTAGAAATCACAAATATACACTGTTTGTTCTGAATGAAAGGTGAAGAAGGGACTGTACTAAACGAGCTTAAGAGGAAGTTTTTCTTTTTGCTTTCACCCTTTAGGTCTTTTTTACATTTAAAGAAACTGAACTGCTCACTCTAAAATGTTTGAACTTAAGGCACCATACAAATTTTTTTTATTACATTATTGGCTTAGACTTTTAAAGTAGTGTTTCAATGTTTTCCACTCATAAAATTTGTGCATGTAACTTTTGTTACCCGATGTTATCATTTTAGGAAACTTTTTGCTTTCCCCCATTTTTCCAGTTCATTTAAACAACTGTGAAAATTAGCCCTGGTTATATGATTGTTGGTCCTTTCCATTTTCAGCATGTCTTCCTTTGTCCTCACTGTGGAGCTTTTACCCCAATAATGTGTTTTCTTTATCTGATCCCATAAGAACAATGGTTCTTATCTGATAAAAGCTGTAAATGTTCAAACCTGCTGAGTAGCACAATCACTGAGATGTTTTCCAGTTATGGGAATGTAATCTGTGACTCATAGCAGCTGGGTGATTCATTGAGTTTTTAGCAGCGCCATCATCTCACCACAGACCCCTTATTACCTAAACCTACTCTGCATTCAGCTACTACAGCAGATAAATAAAACTACAGACTGAAATGCTCTAAAGTTCAATAATTAGCTCTGGTCAACTTTACTACTGTTTTCTCTCTACAATACAGGGAAACCAAAACAGTTGCACATGCATTTAAATGATTCATACCGATTTTTAATAACATATCATCTTCCAGGTAAAATCTCTATTTTAGGACAGGTGTTGGTCTTTTTTTTTTTTATCTGGTGTCTCTGGCATGGCCATCTAAATTAAGGGTTTAAATTTGTCAGTTTTGTTTAGTATTTTGTAACACTGAGCCACTTTTATTTTCAAATGCTGAGATCCTCTCTATATAGTGAATAATGCTGAAGTTAGCTTTTGCCAAATGTGTGCTGTGACTATTGCCACCACTTCTAAGATAAATGCCCTAAAATCTCACATTTAACGAGTGTCTGTTTTTTTTTTTTTTTATCACTGAGCTCTGATTTTGTTTTTCATTTCCCTAACCAGTTTGACAAAAAGGGAATCAGTTCTCAAAGTTTGTTTCGTCTTCTCTTCCACAGAAACCTTTTGAAAGAATAAAATGCTTTTTACAGAGATTTATCCTATATGTTCACCTGATTTCCTCTGAATAGCTGAATCTCAACTCCAGGATTTTTGCAGATTTTGCAGCCTATATTACCATTTAGGATGATATGGCAGTGATATGGCAGTTTATTTGTTAGCATTTCTAGCTTTAACCATCAGCTTGTAAGAATAAAACAAGGTTACTAAAACTGGACCAAAAGTCAGGCGTAGCATATATTTATTTTATTTCATTATTAAAAGAAAACGGAAGAAAAAATAATTCTGAACTAAATGTTGATATTGTTTAAAGTAAAGCTAATTTGTTGCACAAATACCAAAACAAAAAATAAAACGCACACTGTCAACTCATCTTTACTATCGAAATTTATTGTTTTTACTCCAATAGCCAAAAAAATAAAGATTTTTGAGTTTGGAACTGTAAATAATACACAACTAGAGAGTTTTGAATTGGAAAATGAGCAAATACTTTAATTATAGGTTGGATATTATTATTTTTAGTGTAAGATTAAAGCTGATGGAATAAAAAAAACAAAAGTAAAGCTTTTTAGAACCAAAACAGTAATGGAGTTCTGCATGTCTGCCTTTGATCAATAGGTATAAACTGCTCTAACAAACTCATTAAAGGGTATCTTATTAAAGGAAATGCAGTCATTCAAGTATATAGTACAACAAGTTTATTGCAATTCATAAATATCCAAGACGTGAAAAGATCGTTTTTGTTTTGCATTTTTACAATGCATGGAAGTGTTTAGGAAAGTAGAACAATCACATACAGTGCACTGCGTTATTAAGGCTTTTTAACAGGGCAAACATTCAGAGCAATGTGCAAAAAACTGCAAGCTAATACCTTCCAACATTTAACCCTGTATTACTTGTGTCAACGTATGTTTGTGTTTTTCAGCCATCTGGTCAGTCAAGATAAATGCCAACAATTGCTTACAAGAAATAATGTAGTTGCAACTAGGAATGGCAATGAAATTCAAAGGAATGGAGTGTTAAAGAGGCATCATTAGTAAGACTTGACATGGTTAAAATAAGATGTTATACCTTTTTTAAATTTACAATATGCATTAATGTTAATATAGAAATGATTTAAACTGGTCCATGATTATCGGAACAAACTATACCTTTTTTCAGACTGCCAATGAAGCGCGGCAAAGGCATAAACTACACTAAAACCAAACAATTTGATCCATCTAAAGGAACTAGAACTAGAAGAATCAGATATGCACTCTTATTGTAACACTACAAAATAGTTGCTTCTTATCAAGGATTTATCTTTTCTTTTAAAGTCTGCTGTGGATGTTTAGCTAATGGCAGTTTGTATGTAATGGGATTACATTTAGAGGAGCTTAACCTGGTCATGGTCACCAGGACATACCAAAACAGCTCCTGCCTTCTTCCTGCAGCATCTTGTGCAAACTAAATCCCTGATGTACTATTGTAAAACTTCATGTTCAATTCAGTCATTATCTTCTGGATTTATAAAGGCACAAAGTGGACATAGTAACAGCATCATGCTAGAGGTTTTGCAGACACTCATCCGAATTTCCCCTAAATTGTTTCACCGACACAGTTCAAAGATTAGATATAAAAAAGACTAATGTAGGTAGTAGTCTTACTTAGTATTTAGTAAAATAGATAAATCTTCATTTACAAATTTAAAGGCTTTACCTTCATTAAACACAAATTATCCATATTCAATTATATACATTCTGCAACTTGATTGGACGGTTTTCCATTAGTAGCCTTCAGGTAATCTTTGTACTTCGGCGGTTATGCAGCTCTTTGACTGAGGGCAGAGAACTTTCTGTGGAGGAAAGCTTCAACGTGTGGCCATATCTTGTTGGTTTCTGTCCCCGTAAAGGTCTCCAGCACACCTTTACTCCTGAGAAGAAGAAAAAGAAATGCAGTGTAAAGTTTGCAATGTTCATAAACATTGTTAAAGAAAAATAAATAACTAAAAGTCTATACATCCTGTTTAAAAGTCAAGTTTGTGATATAGATATAAATGTCACATTTATCCTGTGCAGCTGAAAAGCAAACGTGTTATAAGAAAGTTAAATGTGCACAACCTTAAACCAATATTTGGTTAAACAATCTTTAGAGTCTGTATTCAATCTTTAGAACATAACCCTTGCATCAAATCAGGACGATGTCAGATGAGCTTCAGCGCTTATTTTTCTGAAGCTTTATGATTTCATTATTTTATGGCAGTTTGCAAATGTCACAAAAGTATCTTATTGTTCAAAGGTATCGTTTGGGATAAGGGTGGATGTGGAGAATAGATATTACAGTTTGATGGATCTATAAAAGACTGTTACAAGCTAACCTGGATAAATATTACCTTTCATTTTAAACTGTCATTACACTCAAGATTATTTGACTTGACTATTACCAACCCATAATGTCTATTATTTGCTATTGTCAAAAACCTAATGTTATAAAAAGAAGAAAAAAAGGTATAGAATGATAGATTTTTTTTCCTTTCTTGTTTAATGATTAGTTTATACACGGTAAATGTCAAATTATTGACGGATGTTTCTTATTTATCACCGTCTCATCTTATTTACACCAAGGAAATCATTTTAGAGCCCTGCTGTAGTTCTGCAAATCATGCATAGAGTGCTTCGTAAAAGTCTCTTTTCTCATTTGATTATTAGTTAATCATTAGACATTATGTGGATTTTATAAAGAGCAAACGCCAAATTGCATCTAATTATAAAGTGATAAAAAGTGATTGAATATTTGGATCATTTTTACAAATGAAAATATAAAAAGCAGCTTTGCATATCTGTTCATAATTGTGAATTACTGTTTATAAGTACTTGTATATCATAGTATTTATTCAAGTAGATTGACTACCATTGCTTGTCACACTTTTTAGGTTTTATTTTATTTTTTTAAGGGAAAATTACTAAGGCTTTCTCTTTGGTTACACAAGTTTAAGAATACGTAAAAATGTGTGGTTACAACATTTTAAAAAGTCGAGAGGTTTAAGGGGGAGATAGAAGTCATATGATTCCTTCTATGTTTACCATCCCTCCTCTAACCTCACATGCTGGATGCTGAGGCTGAAAGCTAAAGTCTTCCAGTTTTATTGAGGAAAAGAAGTGAAAAAACTTCAAAAGTTACTCTTTTTATACTGATACAATAGCAGACAGATTCCAATTCCAATTTTCAAGTGGAAATATTTGCTTCTCAAGCTTATGATGTAGACTAATAAAAATGTTATTGTCACTTTGTATACGCAGAGTGTATGCAAAACAAAATTTATTCCGTAAAAATTCAAAAAATATCCACTGGACTTGGTTTTCAAGATTTGAAGACGTTTCGCCACCTCTCCAGGAAGCTTTCTCAATTCAAATGTCTGGATCCGCAGTGAGTTTGAGTCTTATATAGACAACGCCTTGTATCGCTTGGAAACATGCAATGGTAACCGATGAATGGGTCGTTAGTTCCATCGTTAGCCTGTAATATCTGAACCTGTCTATGATTCTAGGGGTCGGTCGTTAAAGGGGGGATTGCCATTAAGGGGGGGATTGTCTCCCTTAATGGCAATCCCCCCTTTAACAACCGACCCCCTTTAACTCACTGCGGATCCAGACATTTGAATTAAGAAAGCTTCCTGGAGAGGTGGCGAAACGTCTTCAAATCTTGAAAACCAAGTCCAGTGGATATTTTTTGAATTTTTACGGAATGACTTTGACCTGGATGACTGAGAACCTTCATCAGCAAAACAAAATTTAGTTTTATACATCTTTCAGAAAGTAAATGAGCAGCAGCTTAGCAGTGAAATGAACATTTCCATTTCATAAAATGCAGCTGTGATCAAATGTAAACAGCATGGGAGAAAAAACATGGTGCAAAAACGCATTGATATGGAAGTTCAGAGCATTTCAAGACAAATGTAATGGTGCAAAAATGCATTATTTCAGTTTGGTGTATTTCCTCAAATAATCTTAAAGAAGCTAAGCTAACACAGGTAAACAGTGGCTGACATGTTGTAATATCTTTTAAGCTTTAGACTCGTCCATGTTAAACTTAAATAATGAAAATAAGGATTTTACTTTCTTCATTTGCTTATTTAATAGCATGCTAGGTAGTGGAGAAAAGAATAAAAGCTACCAGCAAGCTGAAAACCAACAATAGATGAAGAAAACATGTAAGTTGATCATGCAGTGGTGACGATGGCAGTAGGTTTTAACAGAGGAAGACTGTGTCTTTGACATTAACTTACCAAGTCTGTGCTATAATCACAGAGGTGTATGGGTACTATTTTTTTGTATAAAAATTTAAAAACCGTATCAAAGGGTTAGATATGCTGAAGCAAAAAGGGTTACAATCACCCCTGGTCTCCTTACAGTACACGTGTATAGAGACTGCACGTTTAAAATAAACATTTACATGTTTCTGTCTACTTGACATTAGGAAGAACACAGTCCTCCCCATCCCCCGGTGTATCCTTTGGAACGTGATTCTTAAGCAGCTACTTGGTCACTGCTGCTGGAGAGGTCAGGGTTCATTAGCTCTGACCCTTCCCCTACATTGAACCATTTTCTCCATGACTTAATGCTCAAATGCTGATACCCCACCCAGAGTTGAGTGAATAGGAATCCTTTAAATTGGTTAGATAAAGCAAAAAAAAAAAAAAAAAAGAGAGAGAGAGATAGAGAGAAAAAAATGCATCCTGGATCCATTTCTTGTGAGGAATTAGTTAAAACGGTGAATAATAAAGACTCACTTGTGCTTCACTTCCAGCGCTCACATGATAGGCCAACCAATATGTGATCGTTTCTCTGGTTTACCTCTGGTTTCTGCCTTGCTTTACTAAATGCAAATTAACGGTCTGGGAGCTTAAAGAGAGATCTTAAAACCTCGAAAAAATATAAACATGTTTTAATGAACTGATTTGTGCAAATGAATGCAGATTTTGTTGAAGCAGTCTGATGAGCTTTTTTAAACTCTTAATTACCTTAAGGCAGTGTTTCCCAACCTTTTTTGACTTGTGTACCCCTTTGAGCAATATTACTTACCATGAGTTCCCCTCTCAGTCAAATGTATTGATGATTTTCCAAAAGTGGAACGAACGTACAATAACTGATTATAAAACAAAAACTACTTTACTAAATCTTTTAACCTGAGTATTTAATTCTTAGGCATTGTATTCTTTCCATCTAAGATAAAAAAAACACAAATATGTTGCCTGAAATTAGTAAGGAATCAAAAGTAAATTTCAAAAAAATCATATTATAAACCTTTATTAATAAAGGTTCTCTGAGTAACTAACTCCCTTATAATCACATTTAAACTTGATTAATTCTGAGCAAAATACAGAAAAAAATCAAAGTCAGACCTATTTAATTTGTTTGACTTTGTTTTTATCAAAACACCTGAGCTGCTCTGATGAGCTCCGATAGCTCAGTGTGAAAAACAGATGATCCCAGGCTGTTCTTTACTCCAGTCTGTTCCTCTGCTTGGTTTTGTTGAACTCAAACATATAAGAAAAACTTACTTTTTGGTTGATAAAAGCTTGTTTAATGTTTGAATTGGATGCTCACAAAGCAGAACAGATCCCAGCCCTATTTTATTTTACTACCTAAGAAATCAAATATTTTCATGTACTCCCTGCAATGCACATGCGGATCAGTAGGGGTATGCGTACCCCCAGTTGGGAATCACTGCCTAAGGGTGTCGTGAAAAGCTTCTTTAACCAAAAACCAACCAGAAATGTTGATATTTATTCAACAATTCAGATATTATTTGCACACAAGTTTCCCCTATTATTTAAAAAAACAAAACCACAGATTTGGAAGAAAAGAAAGGTAATATTTGACTCTGTTTAAATTATCTTTGTCCTATAAATGTTTTTTGTTTATATTTGGCTCTACCTGTAGTACTCTAGGACGGGCTCTGTTTGGTTTTCATAGGACTTTAGTCTCCTTGTGACCGTCTCTGGTCTGTCATCATCTCTCTGGACCAAAGGCTCTCCAGTCACATCATCCAAACCCTGGAAACAGAAGATTAAAAGATGCCATTACTTCATTTATATATCTTTAACTTTTTCTACAAGTGTTTGACCATATTTGATGAAATCGGCAAAATGTGGGCTTTGCTTAAAAAGCGAGCTAAAGCATTAAAAGGCATTCATTTAACAGTTTATTTATCATAACTTTTTAAGATTATTATCTTATTAGTTTAATTAATTTATGTATATAAGCATGGATATTTGATTAATAAAAAAACTTAAAATATATTTAGTTTTGATTTCTAAATGATGCAATTAGAAATATCTATTTACAGCTTAAAAGGGAAGGAAAGGAGACAGAAATCTAACTTTCTGAGGAGGCCAAGAAAATATTGTCTTATTTGTCTAGTATAAAGAGGAAACCACTGCATACTTAGCTACTTTGACCCAACTTGTTCTGTAAAATAGTCCTGTGCCAAACAGGACCAGAAGCATCCAGCCCTGAACCACAAAGGTGTTGCTTGCCAACAATGAACAGGGAACCGTTTATTTAGAGATGTTACAGGCGCCACACATGACTAAGAGAATATAAACTATAAATAATCTACCTAACTTTTCTCTCCATTTGAAGAAGAGCTTATTTGTCCATGTATTTCCCATTTTAATATTATTTCAGTTTATGGCAGATTCTTTTACTTTCCTCCCTCAGCTGTGGAGTCGCTGAAATGTTAATCAGAAGCACTGATTAGAGAAGTACTTCAAATGATTTCATGCATCATTTTATCACCTCTAGCATTTGTGCTGCCACTGAAAAAAACAACAACTTATAAACCATATGTGCAATTTAAAAAGAAAGAAACAACACTCATTGCATTTAATGGTAACCCTGGTAGAGACAGCCTTATGATAAAATCTTTATCATTATCTAAACCTAAAAAAAATCTATTGAAAAAATAATGATTCAGTGAAGAATCTTCTTCTATGTTATTATTGTGATCATTTAAAATTTGGTTCACAATTATTACAATCTTCCAAGTCCTACATATCCTTTTCACCGTGATCAAGAAAGATCATTGTGAAGAACAACTTGTTAAATGTTCTGCTGTTTGTTTTTGTGCATCCTTTCATTGCTCATTGAATCACTACAAAGTAGAAACTTGTTTTTTTCCCCCCCATCTCCATTTTACAGTTGAGCTTTTAACAAGGTCAGATTAAGCAGCCGTGGCAGCTGTGACCTGCAGAACCATTTGGCAATCTCCCTTCTGCCTGCAGCTATATTCCACCTTTATGCTGTTTTGAGTCAATACAGCTTCTCGTCAGAAATCAATATTTATTCAATCTGCTTCTGGGAAGCTTTTCCCACGCAAAACCCACAAAAACAAACAAACTATTCACACTTTTAGAAATAAAGTTTTTTCTCCTGGTTGTTTGATTATTTTTATACAGTAAACATCAGATATACTGATATATGTCGAAGAGGGGATAATTACAGGAACTTTAGGTGGATTGAAATCAGTATTATAGACTCTGCCACTTGGGATGTGGGTCCAACGGGAGGTCAGCCTTTCTTTGATGGTCTGGAAAGGTACATTCAGGTTGATGACTGTATCTATAGAGTAGGCATGATCAAGAGCCTCCGCCTGGGACACAGTCCGAGGAAACCCTGGGAACAAAAGACAGATAAACAGATCTAAGGAGGGCAAGTGATCAGGTGGAAAAATACAAATCTGCATACATGCAAGAAACAGTGAGATTAAAAACTCTCTTAAGTGGTTTATCTATAATTAAAAATAAGTGTTGATAGCCCACCTCTTGTGAGCTGATCTTAAACAGGCAATATTGATTAAAAAACTCCTAATACCATCAAGCAGCCAGCCATTGTTGTCTATCTTCCTCAGGTCGTTCAGGATGAGACGGGACATGATGTCATCAGGTACCAGCTGTCCCTGATCGATGCAGGACTTCATTAACAGGCCGAGCTCTGGTGCAGACGAGAACAGAGCCATGAGATAAAGGTCGTAGTTTAGGGTTCAGACAATGATTGTTTCAATCCAGCTTTAACAATCTCTAAGCTTATTTAAGTTATTTCCAATGAGGTTGTAAAATGTTTTGTATGTTTGACCTGGATTTTTTTCACAGATTTGTGATTAAAATTTCAAACAATCACCATCAAAATATAACCAATAAATAGAGGGAAGGTAAGAATGAACTGTTTTTTATAACACTGCATTATGATTGCAAACAATGCAAAGTTTGTGTGAAAAGGACGTTTTTTACAACGGTAAAAATGTGTTTCACACAATTCAAAATACACAAATATTACTTTGAAACAGAACAAAGAAAGTTCAAAAGCAGGCCTCTGGGAACCGTTGAGCTCTTAGATTATTGTTTTATGATCTGTTTTATGGTTTTTTTTAAACCTACAACTTTATCTGTGAGCCGTCCATGTTACCTGGTCTGCATGGGACTGATGTTTGTTCACTTACAAACTTCTGAAGCCTTCATAACACCGGCTGTAATTTTCTAGAGGTTCATTTAAACACAGCTGGACTCTACTTGCTATTTAGGCAACTAGATGAATTTTATTTAGGGGTATTAGAGTAAAGTAGGCCAAATACAAAATTTTCTATTTTGATTCTTTTATTTTTTTTATTGTTAAATCTAATTAGAATGCACAAGTCTGCATTGAACTTTCACATAAAAAAGTAATTAACGAAATGAAAACGTAAAAGTTTAGCAGGACTGAATCGTTTTACGAGGCACTATGCAAAAGAAAAAAAGCAGGGCAAGGCAAGGCAAGTTTATTTGTATAGCCCGTTTCAGTAACAAGAGAATTCAAAGGGCTGTACATCAACAAAACTTACAATGCAACAGGAATAAGTACATTCCAGCAGCACAGTGGAGCAAAAAAACTTACGGATAAAGGACATTTGAAAGGTGAAAGCCTTTTTTTTTTTTGCTTATTCATTTTCACTGATGTAGGTCAAAATCCAACTGAAGGAAGTGATTTTCTAACAAGTCTTGCTGAAACTTCCTGACTGCTGCCGACGTGAACACGACACAGTGCAAGAGGTCAAACTTTATAATCAAACACAAGAAGAAAACTTCAAGGTTTTCCATGTATTGGTTTAGAGAAACTAGGTCAAACGCCTCCAGAAAAAAAGTAAAAGGCATCAGTGTAATTCTAACACGATCGTTAAGCAAACCTTAAATACGAAGAAAAGACTTAAACCTTAATCTAAATATAATGGAAAAGAGCAGCACAATCAAAGTCCAAGGAATGATGTGGCAATTTCAATTAAGCATTATCAGTACCCATTTAACAAAAGGCACTAAATATGAATCAATGTGTTCAAATAACACTTTAAAAAACATGCTTGCAATGGATTATGATTACATTTAAACTGAAACTTAATGCACATTTACTGAGTAAACATATTACTCCCTGTGGCCCATATCAGCCGTTATTAAATGCTGCTTTATTATTGAATCATTATAGATGAAGAATTTAAATTTAACCGGTGAAACTTGCAGAGGAATCAAGCCTCCAGATTTAGTGTAGATGTGGCATCCTCTGTCAGTATAGTGGATTCTCTGTAGTGCAGCTGTTATAGAAAACTTCTTTATCAGCAGTCCTCCCAGGGAGCAAAAGTTCAAAGTTACACCTTCTTTTACAGCTTTTTTATAGTTTCCACCAATATGAAATTAAGAAGCAGGGGCCGCCTTCCAAAGTTCAGGTGTTTGGTGTAAATGTTTGCAGTATAAACATAAAAAAGGACACCTATTAACCCTGCAAACCTGTTTTAACTTAAACTTGAGTTTTATCCCCCTGATCTGAGGTATGTAGCTGGAAGATAAGAAATGTATAAGGGTGGTGCTCTTATCACAGCATGCAGAACACAACTAACTGCCTTTTTCTGCAAAATGAAACAGCAAACTTTGAAAGGAGAGTGAGGAAAAGTACAGGGAATTTATAAATGATATAGGGAGAATATATATTTCTGATCTTTTTTTTTTTTTATCTTACCTGTTTTTTCCTTGATGTTGGCTCTTAAAATGTCCCCACTAGACATGTGCTGCAGTCCAAAACTTTTGGTAATGCGAGCTGACACGGTTCCCTTCCCCGATCCTGGAGGTCCCATGATGACAGCGCGGATCACTCTCTGCAGAACCATGATTCCCAACAGACGTGCTGCACAATTAAGAGTTAAACCCTCTTCTTGATTGCTTCAATCACACTGGGTCGAAGCAAGTAGAAAGACAGATAGTGTTTTTTTTTTTTTTTGCAAACTACGCAACAATGGGGCGAGTCTTAAAGCAGGCAGTGTGAGTGCTCTGTTCCTTGGGCTCTGCTTTGACTAAAAGGAGGAGGAGGAGACAGAGGAGGATAAAGGAGAGCAGAGCCAGCTCAGCCAGCAAAGGCAGATGAAGATCTGTGCAGGAAGAATAACATGTGCAGAAACAGACTCCCTGTTTCACCGCTTTTGCTTTTAATAGCGATCCTTTTATTGTATAATGCGGTTATATAAATGGTGTGCGGAGCTAAGGAAGCATGTAGGGAAGCTCATTAATCCTTTCCCAGCCTCGATGCTTTTGATCGAACAAACCTGCAGCTCTGCAAGAACGAAAAATTCCACCTGCTGAATCACATTGGCCAAAACCATTATTTAGTGAAATTAAAAATATACAAATATGAGCAAAAAAAACGTGCGGTTGTACCACTGTTTGGGTTAGGTTCCTTTGGCAATTGTTTTAGCCACGCCCATTTAGAATTTAATGAACGGCCGCCTATGAGCGCCGCTGGGGATTCGCTCTTTCACAGGCATCCGGTGGATGGCATGGGCTTTGGTGTCAACCAGGAGGAGTGAGTTGTTTTTTTTCCCTCTCTCTTAAAGGGATAGCTGCGTACAAGGACGAGAAAAAATAAACCAAAAATTAAGAAAAAACTCACTACAAATCTAGTCCTCAAAATATCACACCAATTTATGTTATTTTCTTTAAGGTGTCATACATTTTCCATTGGGTACTTTTCTAAACATGACTATGCATTCCTAATGATTTTACAGCGTGAAGTACCTTCATGCAAACACCAAAATATGTCATGAATTTCTGACAGAATCGGACTATTAAAGAGGTAATTTTCTGCTAAACAGCCTGTGATCTCTAACTAGTCTCCAACTAGTCCTTTGCTCCTGTATATTGTTAGCTACTGCAAACATAAATAGATGACACAAATCAGGATTTTAACTGAATCAAAGATTTCCAGAGATCCATTGATAGTTGGTAAAATTGTCTCTATTTATGGCCAAAGTGGGCAGGAAGGCAAAGGTATGCCTCAGGAATGCCCTGTGAGTGAACTGAGACAACGACTCGCAATGCGTCCGGTTGCCTTGCCGGATGACTAATGGAGCGCAGCCAATTTATGGCGATAGGAGCCCTTTAAGAGCACAGGTTTTTAAACCGGAAAACGATGTTGGGTTACGAATGAGAGTAAAATAAAGGGTAGTTTCGCAGTTCTTTGGCTTTGGCTAGACCAGGGTCTTCAATGTTTTCCAAACCAAGGACCCCCCAGAGGCTTGGCCAGAATTTTTTTATAAGGGTGGCCAGGCAATACCCAATGTACACTGAGGGTGACTGAAAGCGGATCGGCACCAGAACCTCAGGGTAAATCTACACTGTTCCAACAGGAAAATTAACAAGCACAACATCCATATTCGCTAAATAAAGACAAACTATACTTTCCAATAGCCTTTGCTAACAAATATACACATACATTTCAACATCCATGCTTTCTAGATAGTGGCTTTCTAGTATAGTCGATACAATTCTCTCAGGTTTGAGTTCTGGGGCAAACATCTCTTCCTTTGTCATTACTTACCTACTCTTATTAACAATTATTCTGCATAAAATGTATATTTACAAGCACTAATATATACACAAATTGATTATTAAATTCTTATTAAAATAGTTATTTATCTATGGTTTCACAGAGGACTCCT